GAAAATGAAGAACCAGCAATTAATAAATATATAAAGTTGTTAAAATTAACATCAGAATCATTTTCAACGTTCAATAACTGGATGCTGATGACACTTCTATATGTGTTCCCCATAATGATTAAAAATTAAAATTATTGTTAAATTTAAAAAAATAAAACTTTTCAATGTAAAACATTTTTCTACAGCTTAAAAATCACTGCCGGCAAAATATGAACGTAGTCTGCGAATACACCAATCAAGAGAAAGTTTCGAAACAAGTTATAGTAAGTTGTTCTGAAGGAAAATGTTTACATCATAGCATTCTAATAAGGAATTTTCTTCTAGCACGAGAACAATTGTTAAAAATTTGTTTTATTAGGTAAACGTCTCCATACACTCATAATTACTGAGATGTTTTGAGTACAATAATTTGATAACGGGTTTCAGTTTGAAAGTTACCTGCTCTCGCACAAGGAGAGTTTCATTGCAGGTTTCTAACATTCCTTAAAACACGTGAATGTATTTGATTCTGAGAAGTTCGTTTGCGTGCAAATAAATCCATTCAAATGAAATATGAATGTTTTTTTATACACATACACAACACACACAAACACACACACACACCACACAATTGCAATATTATTGATGAAAATCCCAGCCTCTTCGCGTTAGCTTCTTAATTAATTTTTCGATTATTCAAACGCGAAACATGCTGAGATTTTCATAAATAGTTGCATATCTATCAGTCTTATTCCAATATATACGTATGTATATATTTATATATAAATGAATAATATATATAAATGTATATATATATAATCATAAATATACAAATATATATATATATATATATATATATATATATATATATATATATATATATATGGTAAAATTAGATGACATTTTCACAATTTTTCATTAATAAGGATGCTAGATGCTAAGATTACATCAATTGGAGAATTTTTTAGAGTTGTTAAGTCGAGTAAATGAAGGTAAAAACATTCATTCGGACCATGGAAGAATCGCCCGAAAAAATCGCCCGTTAAAATCAAAATGGAATGTTTTTTATATCCACCATACAGAAGATTTTGTGTTAAAAACAGCAAAGCTGTCAACATTGTATATGATAAAACTATATGCGCTATTTTTCATTTTGATTATTAATGAAATTTTTAAACTAGTTGAATAAATTAAATCATCGATTATTAACAATCATTGAACAAAATAGTAGAATAAATAATGTTAAATGCACGAAAAAATTTTTCTTAACTTGCATCAACTGAAAACTGAACTGGAAAAGTTTAATATCCCTACAGAAATTTTTCATACAATGTATAAAACTGTCACAGATAGAATTTAAACAAAATCTCCAGAAGCCATGTTCTAGCAGCAAATTCTCTTTATGCTGATGAACTACTTGGCGACCGACTAAGGTTGAAACGATCTATCATTGCTTTTCTAAATGATTTCGCTGAAACTTTTTCTCAAAATAATATTAGCTATGAGTTATGCTTTTGTAGTAACAATTTATTATGCACCTGTCTACAATATATTTTTATTCAGCCTTTTTTGTGGTCATATTTTTTATAGTATTCAACTGTAATAGAACTTGAACTTTGAACTGGAAATTATCCACTCGTATATCAATTCCAACAAAATTAAAGCCAATCGAGTACTATCCCTATCATCTGTCAAAATATATTTACTGATAAATATTATTATAAAACCAAACTAATATTTTACTCATTAAAGTTTTAGAATTTATTTATTTTCAAATGTTCATCCATGTATGTATAAGTTTCTGGCTGACTATTCTGTAGAGTATGTACATTTAGTTTGAAGAAAGGGATTTTCTCGTTAACGTAACTTCAGATGTTATTTTCTATGCTAAATGAATGAATATCTTGCATTGTTTGCTTTTTAAGTGCTGTTGAAAATGTAAAATTTTTAAATTTGTTGGTGGTCGATTTTTCAGATTGGGCAAATGTTTAATGCTAGTTGTTTATTCCTTTTTTAAACAATGTATAAAATGTAAAACTGTTTTCTTTAAAAAATTTCTCGTCGTGAAAAATGTTTATTTTGAGGATTCTACTTTTTATTCGTTATTTTTACAACTGCAGTTTGTTTTCTATTAACATTTTGCTTAAAATAAAAATGAATGTGTAACTAACACACTCAGTTGGAATGATAGGATGATGTACGAAATCTCTTTAAACGTCAGTTTAAAGAGATTTCATTCTGAAATGAAGTTGGAAGGAGAAAGAAACAAAGAAGGATATTTGAAGAGATTTGTAACTGTCAGAAACACTTGATGCTGTGAGCTGACAAGTTGATGTTTCACTTTAAGTAGTTGTTGATAAGTTGTACATTCCCTTCGTTTAAGCTGGTTTTTTCAACGTTCAAACTTTCAGACTAAAAATTTTACTACGTAATATGAAATTACTACACTTTACATTATATAACTGATTTGTATAGTGCATGGCTGATTTTTATGTTACATTAAATAACTTGATTAATAACTTTTCATCGTTCTGTTTCAACCATCGCCAAGAATGTTATTGCCCGGATCAGCTATGAGAGAACTCGAGTAAACAATAATATCCAGAGTTGCAATACATCAGAGGTAATAAAAAGAAACAGCATTGTTGACCGATTTGAAGTGAGATCTGTGGAAACTTTCATGAGTCTGTTGTATTATTATGTACACAACAAACTTTTAAAAGAGCTTTTTGCAATCTCTGTGAGCCATCTGAAAAGTAGATGATCACGCGTAACATGCTTGTTCGTTTTAAGTACAAAGTGTTAGGATTAGATACTTCTACCTCGCTTCGTTTCAAAGACACGATGATATAAACACTCTCTCACATTCATCGCACCGAACAAGCAACACATATTTCATTAAAACTGTAGATGATTCTAGAATGAAAATATTTCATTTCGTGCACAATTTTATAACAATTGAATAAAAAACAAGCGAATAACCAACGTGACAAAATGAATGAATACACGAACTGGTTAATGTTAATCTACACTTATAAATGAATTTCAGAGCTAGTGCATAGTTTAATAAGGAGAGGAAGTTTTTTTAAAATCTTCAACTACATATGGAAATGTTTTTATTGTGACGATGAAGAGCTATTTTCATTTACAAATAAAATTTTTTCAAGATTTAAACTTCATTCAAAATATATCTTTAATTAACATCGTAAAATTCTTCACCATTAAATTTGACTGGCAATAAACAAGCGTGAAATATTTTAAATTGAAACAGTTTTCATTGAAAAGAACAGAAAAATAAAATAAAAAGTGTAGAGTCATTTTGATATCATTTTAACGGGTATACTTCACGAGAATACAGAAGTCGTCATGTAAAGATTAGAAAGTAATTAAATATACTTACAGACGTGTAACATATGGATACCCTATAAGTGTCAACATACAAAATTGTGATGATATTAAGGATGAGAGTAAGATTATTATAATGATGATGATCATAGATGATGGCTAAAATGATGATGAAATTTGATGATGGCGATGATGATGATGATGACAGCGGTGTTGGTCAAAGTGATGAAGAAATTTGCTGATGATGCTGGTGATGATGATAACAACTGGGGTGATAACGATAATGGAATTTGAATCATAGTTTGAATGACTCAGATGAAGATGATCACGATAATGACGATGGTGATGACAACCTGACGAATGTAATAGAAGCTATATGGCATGGCAATGTCCTTTGCAGCCAATCGGATTGTTTACTGAAGAATGTAAGCGACTCTAAGTGGCACTCCTTCAGCCTTTCAACAGCTGAATAAATGAACCGTTTGTGCAGATGGCCCATGCAAATTATGATTCAACTGATCGATTACAGTTCTTCGCCACTCGGCCTTTGTTAACTACACATGTTTGTTTGTCTGTCTGTTTAAAAATCTTGTCGGTGGTTTCTCGATCAATCCCCCTCCCGTCTAACCGTTGTCTGATTAAGCTGAAAGTTTGTATATCCGCTCGTTGTCGACGAGAAACTATGATTCATTCGACCAATCAGCAAACTCAGTTGAACTAATCTGTAATTCAATGAATAATATAAAAATAATCAATAAACGTTCAAGCAACTAAATTTTAACACTCACGAATGCCTTTTATTTTAATCAGTAAGCCTTGGTTGGAGCGAATTTCAATTGGTTGGAGATTGATTGGAGCAAATAAAATGTTATAATCCTTTTATTTGTATGAGCGACGAGCGAGTACGAACATGTTCTGAATTTTTGATGCAAACGTTTCTCTTCATGACATCGACAAGTTGTGGTTGTTTCAAGCCTTAAGACTGTAACATTTTTGATAATTTTTAGATTGACAATCTCAAGACTGCAGTAAATTTCAATCAGTTTTCAATTAAAATTCATGTTACACGACTTGAAAAATGCATACAATGTTGGCATATTTACACGCAACATGGGTTTCAAGTTAAAAAGATAAACTACAAAGCTCACACAGTTAGAGTTGAAACGAACAAAATTTCAAATTCTCTATTTTATTTTCTTCTTTGTTTTCAATTCTCAACCAGCATATCCTCTCTTTTAATTTGAAAATATTTAAAAATTAAATTATTATTTAAATATGAATTTAATATTACAAAAATCAAAATTATCTCAATATTTTTTAAAATAAATAAGATTTTCAGCTGTAGGATAGTTAAACACACCTTCATGTAGTTGAATGAAAATGTGAAAACACGAGCGGCATGTTTCATTTAAGAAGCACACAGGCCTCACTGGCATTCATTGCACTCGCCTTTAGCACGCAGTTTTGCTCACCGGAATGTTTCTCGCATAATATATTTGCTTGATTTTTAGACGTTGAAAGCGATTTTCAATAAATGTTATTAATATTTTTGACTAACGACTTCTTTTAATAATTTAATAATTAAATGAAAATTTTATCAAATCAAATTAATTTATACAAAAATATGTAAACAGTTTTTGTTTTGAAATAATAATGTAAAGTGATACGGCGTTTTAATGAAAAATTTTACCGAAATCTCACATGAATGGAATATAAGCCTAGAGTTGAATGGAAACTTCTGCACTAATGTCACTCTTCTGGAGGAAGAGCACATCTTAAGTCAGGACGCAGTTTGGTACGGTCTGCCGATAGTTTATTTTGTTTCCATTCTTCTTGCAACGTGCGGGAACATCTTTTGGATCATCTTCTTGTGGAGGTCTTCCAGAGGCAGGCGGTCGTCCAATGTTTTGCTCATCATGAACCTCGCGTTCTGCGATTTGCTCAAGTCAGTGTTGGTTGCTCCTTTGAGAATGGTCGAACTTCATTTGTTTAAAAACCAAGAGGCCACATATCATACAATCAATATCTGCTGCTTCATAAACTGCTTCGAATTATATTTATCGTTTGTGGGATTTCACACGGTGATGGCCATCAGCCAGGAAAGGTTGTGCATAATCTGTTTCCCTTTCTACGCACGGAAGTGGCTCAATCAGAATGTAGCTCTGGCAACGATATTCCTGATATCCGCTATTTCACTGGCTACATCCTTGCTCTATTCTTTGTTTTATTCGCAAATAGTAATCGTTCATCCAACTTGCAAGACTGCTTACAACGTGTGCTCGTACACATTCGTTCTTTCCACCAGCAGAGCCTTGGGAGCCAGGTATTTTACACTCGCAGTAACCATCTTCTACTACATCATTCCAGTCATCGTCGTGTCAATTTCTTACGCAAAAATAGTTGTTAGTTTAAAAAAGACAATTGAGATGTTGAAACGTGATGTATTCGATGGACAAAGCAATCATCCAGGAAGAGACATCAGATCAAAAGAAATTATGGCTAAAGCTTCTAATTCTGCCGACAAAAAAAGTTCAGACAAAAATTCAACCTCAAAAGGTTTTTCAAATAAGCAAGATGGGGCCCCATTGAGACATTCAGTAAAAAGCACGCTGAAAGTCATAAAAAGTCGCAAGTCTCTTAGTTATTTGATGATCATTGTAGCAGTTTGTTTCACTATATGCCATGGACCGTTAATTTTCATGAGCTTGTTCATGAGTTTTGGATACAGGATGGATAACAACACAATATTTGTTTTAATTTTATTCAAATGGCTTTCAGTCGTCAGTTCTGTGATCAATCCAAACGTTTATTCCACTAATAAAAGAGCGTTCAGAAGACAATGAGAAAAGCATTAATTTCTGTGTGTTATCGTAAAACTTGAACAACCTTTCCATGTTCGAATGAAGTCTTCAAAAATATCAAGTTAGTTCAGTTCAATAATCACTTTTTTTTAAATTTTAAATATCAAGCTAACAATTAAAAACATAACTTGTTTTGTCAATTTTAATATGTGTTTATATTTGTATATTTGAGCTTACAGATTGTAGAATTCACACACACACACACACACACACACACACACACACACACACACACACACACACACACACACACACACACACACACACACACACGCACACACACACACCGACCATTAACTAATTTTTCACCATTTTCTACAAATTTAATACAATTACACCATCTTGCCGCTCAATATTACTATTGCACCATCTTACAGCGAAATATTATTTATGGCCCGGGCGAGATTAATATTATTCTGTTTATCAGTGACGATTATTGTTAATAAGATACTAGACGCTACACTAGACTCGTAAGTAAGCAGGTCATCCTCTACAAAGTGCATGCGTTACGTTAAACTCATGAACGACAAACACGATGAAGGATTCTCCTTTTTCTTAAAACATCAAATGATTTTGTCGTAATGTCGTAATCAATGACTTTGCATTAATCAGAAACGATTCTGAGACATTTTTTCGTAGCAATTATATTGTTCATTGTGCTTATAAAAATTGTTTAATTATATATTTTATTATATGAATATAGTGTACGTGTATGTGTTTGTGTAGGTGTTTGTGTGTTTTTTTAGACTTATAAAATAATGATTCTTAAAATATAATTTAACATTTCACATTTTTAAAAATATTACAAACAGAAAAGTTTACTAAGTTTCATTTATGATACATGCATTCTAGTTATTGGTAATTTTATAAAAAAAATATATGAATATATAACCACAACAATTATAAATTTTTAAATCAATGAGAAATAATAATAAAATAATTAAAAAAATAAGAATAATCAATTACTCCAAAAAAACACCGAAGTATTTCAAACGTTGAATTTTCATACTGAAACTGTTTAGAAAATGAATGCCAAGTATTTAACGGAGCTAAACAAACAAGCGCTGAAACTATCTCCTTTCACTGCAAACATTCATCAACCTTCCTCAACAATTCATGGCTGTGGCGGCTGTGGCGCCTGTGGCGGCTGTGGCGCCTGTGGCGGCTGTGGTGGCTGTGGCGGCTGTGGTGGCTGTGGCGGCTGTGGCTGCTGTGGCGGCTGTGGCGGCTGTGGCGGCTGTAGTAGCTGTGGCGGCTGTGGCGGCTGTAGTAGCTGCGGTGGCTGTGGCGGCTGTGGCGGCTGTGGCGGCTGTGATTATTTATATCCTTTTTTTTAATATTACCACTTCAGCATTTTATTTCATTTCAGGTGTAGCAATGAAGAAACAAATCAGACAAGATCCTTGAACGAGACGAACGTGATAGCATTCACCTTCCAACTGATTCATTTCTTCATCAACATCGACCAATAATCATTTTTCAAAAAATAACTCGGTGTTAACTCTGAAACCAATGGAAACTTATTAAACAAATTATTTCTAATATTTGTCATGTTATCATCATTGCTACTTATTTTGCATTTTGCACATTCTTATTTCAGGCAATTTGAAAAAACAAATTCGATTAAAATTTTTATTTTAGAAGTCGTCAAAAAATTACACCGTGCTTTATAGAATAACGCAGGCTAATTGCAAGTAACGACAGTTTAATTTCCAAACAATTTGTACTGAAGTGCTGCACACATATCACATATCATCTTCAGTGAAAAAAATTATGCTATTTTAATAGTCGTACGAATGAAATTTTTTGTAACAATTGTCCAAACTCTGCATTTATTGTTAGATACATGTTTTTTAGTTTTTTTGGTATTAAGAGGGGACACTCTTTAAATATATTAAAATATATATATTCAGTTAAAATTTCAGTTGAACTAAATTGTTTCGTAATTGGGAAAATTGATTAATTGCTGGCACATAAAGGACAGAAACTTTTAAAATCTCCACGGAAATGAAGCCGGCCAGTGGTTATTCATCAGAGCAAAATGATTCACTGTGTTTCTTCAAGAGCAACAACATTCACGACATCATCAACAACTGCACGTACAACGAAACGAACAACTACACAGTCAACAACAACAGCAACTACACGTCTAACAACAACGACGACGATTGCACTATTTTAAATCTGTTCCCTTGCATTAAAAAAAATAAATAAACCAAAGTTGTTTGGAAGTTTAATATCACCGCACAAGACAGCCAGCAAGAAAACAGCAGCCGACAATGAACCTGGCTCTAAAGTTTCCTGCCCTCGTAGAGAAGAAAATTCACTGCGAACTTGCTCAACGAGCAGCTTGAAAATAATGAAAGGACGTCAAACACTTGCACGCATGATGATTGTGGTGGCCGTCTGTTTCATCATCTTCCAAGGACCCATGATCATCATGTACATGTGTTTGAGTTGTGGCTACAAAATCAAAGTGGTTTCAATTAGTAAGCTCCATGATTAATCCGCTCGTCTATTCAACCGGTCGAAATGTTTTTAAAAAGCATTAGCATTGATTGTGTGTCTATTCGAGCAAATGCATCTTTAAATGCCATCTAGTCACGTTCGTTTGATTTCAGTGTTTCGTTCTGTGACGATTAAAAGATGCGACAAATTGTTAATGAATATTTTGAAACGATCAATCACGACTAATAAATAATTATTATTTAGTTTTTGCTTTATCTTTTACTTTTCAAAAAAAACATTCAAGATTCGATTTCATAAGAATGAAAAGACAGATGTTTTCCCACGAGCACAAAATAATTTGATGCCCAATTTTTTTAGTCCATACTTATGATTGACACTTCCATTAATATTTTTGAATTTTAATATTCAAATCTCATTCTGTTCTAAAACTAAAAATGTCTCAAAAATAATTTGAAAAGACTTTCACATATCAGCAATAATATTAACATTTACGCGACGAACCCATGATGACCAGCATTAATATTCGTGAGTCGTTTGAAGCATCGATAGCACAGAGTATTTTAAAAGTGAGTTTGATTGCATTTTCAGTAAGAAATACAGTCGATAATGAATTAGAATGAGATTTAACGAACATTTTTTGAAAAGGCATGAGTGGTGTACCATGTTGTAACGATTGTGCAAAATTAACGTAAACTGAGGCTTTTGTTATATGCAAACGAAACATTTTTAACTCAAAATTAATTTTTGATGTGAAATTTGATTTGACAGTTTTGTGGCTGCTAAATTGCAAAATTATTCCACATGCACCTACAAATGTTTTCATTCTCAAACGTTTGAAAGCAGTTCATTGAAAGCTGAGGTGTTTCGAAAATTGAATAATGGAAGGACATTTGGAAGCAAGATGGAAAAGATGAAATCTTAACGAATGGAAATTATTTTCGTAAAAGTAGTCATAAATTCTACCAACAAATCCTTCTTTTTGTTCAATTTTGAATAATTCATCATCATAAAAATATAGACACCTTCAACTCGTTATTAGACGCATTTAAGAAGAAAGGATATTTCATAAGTTTAATAACTTTAAACGATTTAGTTATAAAACGAACAATTTTCTCAAAATTAAGTTTTTTATTATGCAACTCTACAAATTCAGAACATTGCTCCACATTACAATTCAAATCTCAAATTACATTAGCTTTTAAACATGTATGCTTTTGTACCGTACGATTTCAGAAGAACATTAAGTGCCAGTGCAAAAGTGCGCTTGTATCTGTGCCAATGTGTAGGATAGTCAAAAAAAAAAGCTAATTGGAATTTGTTTTTCTAATTAGTTCGTTCGAAGATCATATATTTACTTTTTTTAATGTTGATGCTTAATTCATGAAAGTCGGACCAATATGCTATTTATTTGAGGCCATGGTTGTTCTTACTTTCACGTAACTAGCAAGCCAATCCAATGCAAAACCTATAATGCGCAGTGTTCGAGTCAATTATAACATGAAAAATAACATCTATAGAATTTTTTCTCAAAAATCATTCAAAGTGTTCACGGTTTTACGATTACATCCTAAAATTGTTGTTTATTTGAAATTAATTAGACTTTTGAACTGGTTGATAAGGGTTTAATAAATTAAATAGAACAACGATGTAACATGTTAATTCATTTATTTATCCAATGATTCATTCAATCGTTCTCCACCATCACTCGTATATACATCCTATCATCAGTAGTTTCATCGTTCGTCCTTTTTAACATGAAAATATCTTTGAAACAAATATCTCAACTTATCCGTCGCGTCTTTCAGGAAACTGTTCCGGAGACTCACCAACTCAAACCTCCTAAAAAAGACGCCATCCTCTATATACCCAGGTGGCACTGAAACTTCATTCTCTTAATTAATCGATAATTAATTAATTAATTAATTGAGTGTTATAATAGAGTAATTAATTAAATATATTATGTTTTAATTACGGAATACTTAAAAAGCGTGATTAAACCTCAAATTCGTGCATTCATTGGCACATCCATGCACTCACCAATTCACCAAATGAACCTCGCAAAATAGATGTACATATTAATCTATGAGACCAAAAGGCATCATATAAATTGTTCAAAAATTAATTAATTAATTCATTCATTCATTTATTCGTTCGTTCGTTCGTTCGTTCGTTTGCTCGTTCGTTCATTCATTCATTCACTCACTTACTCACTCACTCACTCACACACTCACTCACTCACTCACTCACTCACTCACTCACACACTCACACTCTCATTCACTCACTCACTCACTCACTCACTCACTCACTCACACATTCACTCACTCACACACTCACACACTCATTCACTCATTCACTCACTCACTCACACACTCACACACTCATTCACTCACTCAATCACTCATTCCTTCATTCGTTTATTGAATCATCAATTTAACCTTTAGAAGTCACATCGCCATTAACATCGTAGAAACCAGGCTCTTCTGGTTTCATTTAAGATTTGAAGATAAATTAA